TGGTATTTTGATTGGAATTGCATTAAATCTGTATAACAGTTTTGGGAGGATGGCCATTTTCACAATGTTTGTTCTTCCTATCCATGAACAAGGGATGTCTTTCCATTTCCTGAGGTCCTTTTCAATTTCTTTTTCAGGGTATTATAATTTTCACTGAATAGATATTTTGCTTCTTTTGTTAGATTAATTTCCAAGTATTTCATTTTGTTGGATGCTATTATAAAGTGTGTGGCTTCTCTTATTTCTCTGTCAGTGATTTTGTTGTTAGTGTATAGGAATGCTATTGACTTTTGGGTGTTGACTCTGTATCCAGCTATGATACTGAATTTATTTATTATATCTAGGAGTCTTTCAATGGAGTTTTGGGAGTCTTCTGTGTAGAGTATCATGTCAACTACAAATGATGATAATTTAACTTCCTCTTTTCCTAGCCTTACTCCTTTTATTTCTCTCTCTTGTCTAGTTGCTCTGGCTAGTTTTCCCAGTAATATGTTGAATAGGAGCAGTGACAATGGACATCATTTTCTTTTTCCTGATTTTAAAGTAAAGGCTTTCAGTTTTTGGCCATTTAATATGATGCTGGCTGTTGGTTTGTCATAGATGGTTTTTATCATATTGAGGTAAAAACGATCTATTCCAATTTTCTGTAAGGTTTTCTTTTTATCATGAATAAATGTTGGGCCTTACCAAAAGCTTTTTCTCCTTCTGTAGAAATGATCATGTGCTTCTTACTTTTGGCTCTATTGATATGGTGGATTTCTTGATGGGGCCATTCTTTCTGGGGTGAGGTTATATCTCAGTGCTGTCTTAGTTTGCATTTATTGAATGGCCAGTGATGGTGAGCATTTCTTCATGTATTTATGCCATTTGTATATCTCTACCTGAGAAATGTGTGTTCATCTCTGATGCCCATTTTTGGAGAGGGTCTTTCAATTTGAGGGGCTTGATGTTTTTCAATTTTTTATATATTCTGGATATAAGTCCTTTATCTTAGGAATTATCTGCTAAAATTCTTTCTCATTCTGTGGGTTTTCTTTTCACTTTGTTGGTGATTTCTTTTGAAGTGAAAAAATGTTTTAGTAATATGAGATCACAGTTGATGATTCTTTGAAGTGTTTCCTGTATGTCTTGTGTTTTATTCGTGAATTCTCTGCCTACCCCTATGTCTCCAAGATTTCTACCTCCCTTGTCTTCCAGTAAATTTAGTGTTTCTGTTTTAATATTTAGGTCACTGATCCATTTTGACTTTAGTTTAGTGCATGGTGTTAGGCATGGGTCTAGTTTCAGTTTTCAGCATATAGAAAGCCAATTTTTCTAACAACATTTATTAAAGAGGCTCTTTTTCCCAGTGAAAATGTTCAGCCCCTTTGTCAAGTATATGGTTGCTGAGTGCCTTTGTAGTTGTGTTTACATCTTATAATCTGTTCCGTTGATCTTCAGGTCTATTACTTTGCCAGTGCTGATTTTGCCACTGTGGCTTTGTAGTATAGTTTCAAGTCAGGAATTGAGATGCCTCCTGCCTTGCCTTTGTTGCCCAGAATTGCCTTTGCTATTCTAGGTCTCTTCTGTTTCCAGATGAATTTTAGGAGTGTTTTCTCTAGATCTGTGAGGTATGTTAATAGTATTTCATTGGGATTGCATTAAACCTGCATAACAGGTTTTGGAGTATGGCCATTTTCAGTTTTGGCTCTTCCTAACCAACAGGAAGGAACATCCTTCCATTTTCTAATATCCTCTTCAATCTCCTTTTTTAGACTAGTATAATTTTCAGCATACAGGTCTTTTACATTCTTGGTTAGGTTGATTCCTAAGTATTTCATTTTTTAAGATGCTATTGTGAAGGGTGATATTTCCATAATTTCTCTCTCAGTGAGTTTTTTGTTTGCGTACAGGAATGCTACTGATTTTTAAGCACTGACTTTGTATTCAGCTACGCTGCTGAATTTGTTTATTACCTCTAGTAGTCTTTTAATGGAGTTTTTGGGTCTTTTATGTAGAGTATCATGTTATCTGCAAGTAATGATGATTTAACTTCTTCCTTTCCTATCTTTATTCCTTTTATTTCTCCCTCTTGTCTGATTGCTCTGGCTAATATTTCCAAAATTATATTGAATAGGAATGATGATAGTGGACATCCTTGTCTTGTTCCTGATTTTAGAATGAAGGCTTTAAGTTTTTGTCCATTTAGTAAAATGTTGGCTGTTGGTTTGTCATAGATGGCCTTTATGAGATTGAGGTAGACATTGTGTATTCTGAGTTTCTGAAGTTTTTTTTTTTTTTTTATTATCATGAACAGGTGTTGGACTTTATTGAAAGCTTTTTCTGCATCTATTGAGATGACCGTGTGGTTTTTGTTTTTGGCTCTGTTGATGTGGTGTATTACATTTATTGATGTGTGTACATTAAACCATTCCTGCATTCCTGAGGTGAATCCCCACTTGGTCGTGGTGTATAAACTTCTTGATGACTTGCTGCATTCTATTTGCCTGTATTTTATTGAGAATCTTTGCATCAGTGTTCACTAGTGAGAATGGCCTGTAGTTCTTTTTGGTTGGGTCTTTCTCTGATTTTGGTATCAGTGTGATACTTGCCTCCAGGAATTGGTCTCAGCTGATGTTCGATGAGTCTTGCATTAATCACCTTACCTAAAACATGCTCACTATCCCTCTTTCTTTATTTCCTTATCATCTCTTGTTTTTCTTTGTGACTTTTTATAGCACTTCAGACCATTATGTCTATTGCTTCGCAGATTCTGTCTTTCTCTCCATGTGTAAGTTACATTCCATGAAGGCAGGAACTTGGTCAGTCACATTCCTTGTTCAACTTGTAATGACAGGCATGTGTCCAGGACACTTTGGTTTCAGATGAATGAATGACCCTAGAGTTTTTCTTATTACCTCTGTTTTACAAGTGTAAAACTAAGACACAAGGACATTCAGCTGTTTTTACCCACTTTACACAGCCAGTAAGACATGGAACCAAGATTCATATGCAAGCTGGTTGACGTCAGTAATCAACTACTTTACTATACTTCTTGACTTGATTAAGAAAGTACCATTTCAAGAGGCCTATTTATAAAACTCATCATAATGGATGCAGAAATAGATAAAATTAAATATTATTTTATACTTTAGGACTTGAACAAAATATTTTATATTCTAACATTAATTATTATACTATCTATATGTCCAACTAACCCATATTCAGAGAAAATATTGTATGAACAATTATCTGTATCCCTTCAAGTTTTTAACAGTTATATCAATCAAGCTTTAGCAGTTTGGTTCTTATGTCAGTGACTGTAATGTTATTTATACAATAGTGACACTGTAACAATGGGTGGACCAGGCAGAGCAGATAGAGAAAATGAGCTACAATTCCAAGAGGAGGAAAAGTATCTTCTAATCATGTTATTTGCTAAAAATGAAGATAGGCATATCATTTTGTGTCTTAAGAAGTACTACATATTAATTTCTGAAAATTTGAAGGGCATAAAAATCACATTGATGAGAATCATAGCCAGAATGAAACATTTCAACGATGTATGTATATGTTTGCGTGTATGTGTATAGACCTCACTGTCATCATTTTGTGTGTATATTTAAAAACTATATTGCATTAGCTTTATGTTACTGAAAACCTGATAAATCATCTAAAAAGTGGGGTGGTTAGTTTGAAGGCACAGTTTTAGAGATTTTACTTCATGATTGATGATTGGCTTTGCTGGTTTGGCTCTTTTGGAAGGCAGCATGTCATGGTGGGCTGCTCATCTCATGCCTGGGATTTGAGAGAGAAAGAAGAGGTGGAAGTCTCCCTCCCAGGCCACAGCCTCAGTGACCTGAAACCTCCTATTAGGCCTCGCCTCGTAAACATGTTACAACTTCCCAGTAGCCCAAGCTGTGGTCTAAGCCTTGGCCTTTCCAGGTTCAAGTCATATGATCTCTCTCTCTCTCTCTTTCTTCTCTCTCTCTCTCTCTCTCTCTGTCTCTCTCTGTCTCTGTCTCTCTCTCTCTCTCTCTCTCTCTCTATCTATCTCTTCTGGTTTTCTCACTGTATGTCATTTATAAGTTCTTTTCTTACATACGTAAACATGCCTTGAATGTATGATGTTCAATAGCTGTATGATTTCTTAAAATACATTTACTCATTTCTGCAAATTTAGGAATCTGTCTTTGTGTGCATATGTTTGTGTGTGTGTGCATGTGTGCATGTATGCTTGTGTGTGTGCATTTGTGCTTGTGTGTGGGAATAACTTTCAAGAAGCATCAGTGTACATAATAACTCTCTCTTGCATCTCTGATGGCTTCCTGTTACTGAAAGGTGATTTCAAGTGACTAAAAGGACACTTTTAACAGGGATGAAATCAGAGCTATTTAAGAGCTTGCATCGTTGGTGTGAATGCTATTTCTTCTTTTCACCTCAAGGGAAAAGGTGTTGAATGTTCTATAAATGTTTGTCTTTAGCTACATTCTTTCTAACGTGTCAACAAATTGCTCGCTAGCAGAGGAAAATCAAGTGGCAGTTTCAGAGTAAAGCTATGGGCCTCTGGATTGGCAAGACTGGTCCTTTTATCCACTCATCTGCAAACACAGTCTGTGTCCCAGGATGCTTCGAGAGAGAAGTTTCCGTAGGTCTGTAGTAAGAGACCTGTGAGGCCGATGTAGCATACAGCACAGAGTTCCGTGCATTTCTCTCTGGGAATTGTGATGACAGGAAGTTGGATATTTTTGTTAATACTTAACTTAGCTAAAGTCAAAAACTGCCAGTTGTACTCATGAAACCTCACAGGCCTACAAACTTACCGAATCTGAAAAGGACTCACTCACCAAGTATGAACAGGAAATGATTTAAAGTAAAGGGCCTCCCTTGCTGCCTGGGGGAAGCTTGGTGATGTTACACAGGAAGTAGCAAATGGTAAACCCATGGTGGAGGGTGCTGTCAGGCTGGACCCCACCCAGAAAGAGACTCTTACTCTGAAAGGGATTTCCAGGCCCCCTCTATCACCAAAGCAACCAGGGTCTGTGGATGCAAAGGGAGACCATCAACAGAGCAGCACACCCAGGTGACAGGGCAATCAGCCAGATCAGGCATCAGATAAAAGCCACTTCTAAGTCAGAGTTAAACAGCCAGACCGTATTTTGCCGAGCATATTGGAAGGAAGCAGAGCAAGCTAAATTTAAATTCAGCTTTGAAGACTTGCAGATGTAAAGACTGAACGCTCCAAAATGTGGGTAGCGAAAGGAGAAGGCTACGCCAGAGCCCCTAATGCTGAGCAGCAAGGCAGGAGATGCAGGGAGCCCACTTGAACCTGAACCTGAGCCCAGCGGAGGAAACACAGCCAGGTGCATCACAGGAAGGCTGGCTGCAGCTATGCGGGAGACAACGGGGGAGGTGGGTGCAAAGCTCGGCCTGACATCTTGATGACTGCCTATTTTTATGCCTAAACCAATTTTGGAGGAAAGCGTAGAGAGCTCGCTCTTGAGGTCTGTCCATCCCTTATCACTTTATGTGATATATGAAACCTACCCCAAATCACTGTGCATCCGTGGGAAAGACTAGCAATACCCACATCTGGGAAGTTCTACACAGCACATTTTCTGGAAAGTTTGTGGCAACTTCATTTGGCAGCAGACCTTGACCTGAGCCCAAGTGGGCTATTTATAGTCACCCTGCTAGCCCTCCTTGTGTGAATATTCATGTCTTCTGCAGCAGAAGTGCTCATGTGTTTAATTACAGGTTGCTGCCTCACATCTTGCTGTGGCTGTGAAGTCACATCTAGGACACGGATCATGTTACTATTCTAAAATCTAAAAAAACTTCTGAAATGGGAAGCCATCTGCCCCCAAGGTTTGGCAAAGGATTATAGATTTGTGTATTAATACACATATCCTGCAAATAGGGTTCTACACGCTATCAAAGTGTGACAGGCTTTAAACTCTAAATATTAGAGAAATAGTTTGAACCTCTAACTATGTTACTCTCCCGTCTCAGGGTGTTTCTTTCTCTTTTCTTCCTGCAGGTCTCTGTTTTGACCACTGGTGTCTATAACTCTCGTACAAATGCCACATTAAAATAATACGTGTGAATCTTAGTACTCAAACATTCCATTCCTATTTTTATTTCTTATATTTATCCATGCCTATCTCTGTATGTGTATACGTTTACAAGTTGCTGTAACTGCATATTATAGAGTGTTCTTTACAGGTTTTTAGATGTTATGCATAGACTCATTCTGTAATTCTACTTTTTTATTGATGACTTGCTGTTCAGCTCACTTTAATGGACTTTTTGGTCACTCACTGGGCTTTGGTGAGGTATCAATTCAAATGTTTTGTCAATCCTTTGTATTGATCTATTTCTTTTCTTGTTATTGAGCAATAAGAAAATTTTAAATAATTGCCATATAAATTCCTCATTAGATATAATTTTGTAAATATTTTGTTGTATTCTGGGGCATGGCATTTCACTTTCTTAACTGTGTCTTTCTTTCTTCTTCTTTTTTTTTTGTACCAGAGATCGAACTCATGACCTTGCACTTGCCAGGGAGGCACTTGTGTCACTAAGCTAAATCCCCAGCCTTAACTGTGTCCTCCAAGAGCTAAGCTTCTTATTTTTTAAGTCATTCCTTCCCATGTGTCTTTCACACTTGTGCTTTTTTTCTGGTTTTAGAAATTAATGCTTAGCCCAGTGCCACAGAGATTTTTTTTCTGGGTTTTTTTTTGGCCAATATTTAATAGGTTCCACTTACACATTTAAGTATAAAATCCATACAAAGTTAAAGTTTTCTATGGTTCACTGTTCCATGATGATAATCTAGTATCTCCTATTGCTGAGAGACTACAATTTCCACATTGAATAGTCTTAGTAGTAAGTTTAGCAAAAATTAATTAACAATACAGTTGTGGCTCTATGTTTAGACTAAATTTTGCTTTGTTCATTTATATACTCATACATCACCAGGACTACAATACCTTATGTTATGTGTTTGAAATCGGGAAGTATAAATATTCATTCTCTGCTGTTGAAAGTCATTTTGGCAATTCTAGATCCTGTGTTTGTTCATGCAAATTTTAGAATAGCATTACAATTTTTAAAAATTTTATTTACTTATTTTTTTTATTTTTTGAGGGCACCGGGAATCAATCTTAGAACCCCACTCTTGCCAGGCAGGCTCTGTGCCGCTGAGCTGTGTCACATGCAATTTCTTTTTTAAATAAAGCAACCTGAAAATATTTGTATTGAGGTAGCGTTGAAAACCTCTGTATTCATGGAGGTCAGCTTTAATTGTTTTGTTATTATTTTCCTGTTTATACTTAGATTCTTTATGCTTGCTTGTTTACCTCTCCTCCAATCTGATAATGCAGATAATTAATTGAAAGTCTTCATTTAATATCTTACATTAATACTATCTACATCTCACAAATTTAGAGAATTTTAATTATCAGTTAAAATCATATATATATATATATATATATATATACTGTGTGTGATCTTTAATATATACTCTGAACTATATAGTGTGTGTGTGATCTTTTCTGACTTTTTCTCAGCTAACATGACTATTTTGAAATTTGTTCATGTTGTCAAGGATATAAATTCCTTCTTCCCTCCCTTTTTTTATAGTACTGGGGGTTATACCGTTTGTAATGAGCTGCATCTCTAATTCTTTTAAATTTTGAGACAGGCTTCTCAGGTTGCTAAATTGCTCAGGCCAAGCTTGTTCTTCTATCCTCCTGCCTCGGCTTCTCGAGTAGCTGGGATAACAGGCAGGTGCCACCATGCCCAGTGGTGTCTTTCTACTGCTTTCTATTATTAAGTAGTACTTCAGAATGCATGTGTGTGTATGTGGCAGCATAATTTGCTTATCTGTCCGTATGTTAATAGCCATTTAGGTTGTTCCAGGGAGGAACTACTACTTAAAATTTGTATTAACATTTCCATATTAAGTCTTCAGATTGATGTGTACTTTTATTTTTCTAATACATTTTATTAGATTCCTTGAATACCTGCCTGCAAACCAAGTCATCTTCAACCAGAGGTGATTTTGCTCCTCTCTGCCCGTTGCACTGGTCTTTCCTTCTGCCTAATTTCCCTGGCTAAACCACTGCCATGGCATTGCACAGACAGCAAGAGCCGGCGTCAGTCTGGCTTGGACTTGGCGTGGAAGCACTCAGTCTTTCTCCAGTAAGTACGCTTCTAGCTGTAGGCTTCTACAGATGTACGTTAAGAACCTTCAGTTCTTTTGTATTTCTAGAGTGCTGAGTGTTTCCATCATAAAAAGTGTGTTGGATTTTGTATTTTTATTACTTTTTTTGCTGAGAATCTCATGTGTGTTTTGTCTTTCATTTATAACCTACTACGTATTACCCTCGTACAGAGTTAGATATTATTATAACAACCTAGTGCATTGAATTTCAGAGGTGTCCTCCCTTGTATGAATATGTTTTAAAATTAATGTTTAGTCCATTAACCCTGATTGCAATTATTTGCATGATTGGAATTGGGGCTCCTATTTTATTATATGTGTTTTACTCTATTATTTGTGCCTCCTCTAATTTTTGGTTCCTTCATTCCTAGTTTCCTGCTTGTAAAAAAAATTGAATATTTTTAGAATTCTATTTTAATTTTTCTATTGGCCTTTTTCCCCAGCTATAGTTAATTGTATTATATTTTTAGTGCTTGCCCTAAAATTATAATGTATTGATTTAAATTTCCAAGGTCCATAATTAGGATTATGCTACTTCATGCAAAACATGGGAGTCTTGAAATGGAGGCAGTTCCTATTCCCACACCTGCACTTCACGGTTTAGGTGTGGTGTGCACACCCACACATGTTCAAAAGCTCGCCAGAACGACTGCTTCATTTTCTTTATCTGTGTGTATTTACTATTCAGCGTTAGGAGGCAAAACACCTCAAGCATCTCATTTACATGGATCTATACGTGGTCTAGTGCTCTCTCTTTCTAAATAGTTGAGTTTTCACACAGCCTCATTGCCCTTAACTTAAATTCTTTCAATGGTTTTGCAGTATAGATCTGTTCCTCTTAGCAATTTGAGCGGGACGCATCTATAGTGTATCTTCAGTGTTAAAGGAAATTTTGCTGGGGAATAATTCTAGTGAGACAGGTTATTTTCCTTTACTTCCTCATTTTAAAGTTTTGTAAAGATTTTAAACTGGTCCTCTGGCCTCTATGGTTTCTGATCCTTCTTCATTAGCAGTTCCCTGGGATGTCACACACTGCCTTTTCTTTTGAGGTGCTCGGTGCTTGGTCCACCTCTAGGGTCTCCCACAGTTGAGCTGTGGGGCTCCTCTGCTCTTCCGCTCATGGATGGCCACATCAGTCTTCTATATGCAGGTTTGTGTCATAAAATGCAGAAAAATATTAGCCATTTTCTCTTCAAACACTTTTGGCCATGTCTTTTTCTTTCTCACCCTTCTGAGATCCAGCTGTCTGAGTACCCGTGGGCTGGGCCACTCGCAGTTATGTAGGAGGTCCCTGGGCCTCTCTCGCTTTTGTATTTTCTTATCTTTCCTTCTTTGGATTCAGATGATTTCTATCAACTTATTTCCACTTTATAAAGTATTATAGTCTTTTCCATAGCTATGATTTTTTTCAGGCTTTGCGTCTATCAGAATCGTCTCTTTTTTCTCCCCCTTTAAAACTATTCATGTTGCTCCACTGAGATGTCCCATCTTCCCCTTCTGCGTGTGTATATTTTAGCTTTGATTAATTGGTAATTAAAATAGTCATTTTAAAATCCTGGCCTTTTGGTTCCCACAGCAAGGTCCTCCTAGGGCTGGTTCCAGACTCTTCTGTTCTGGATTGGTCGATGTGCCTGGCATTTGGGGCTGACGCTGGGTACTATGAGTTTCTTGAGGAATGGGGATCTTGTCTTCTCTCAGTGAACGTGGCAGCTATATCAGCCGGAGCTGACCTGCCACTATGCCTTCCGATCTCTTGTGCTCAGCTGCAGAGCTGGGAGTCTATAATTGAGTGAATGTGCGTGATCTCCAAGCCAGAAGGCGATTCAGGCAGGCAGAATTGTGGGGTCCCCCTGCAGGCTCCTGTGTTTCTGGCATCCCTCAGTTTCATCTGCAGCTCTAACTTTCCTCATTCAGTTCTCTGATTCCTCAAGCTAGGAAGGCGTGGTTTACCCCCAACCCCTGAGGCTGGCCTGACCTTGACTGGAACTGACCTTGACAAAGGCCACATTTTTTTTTCTCCTTCTGCTGGGGGTGCATGCACCCCCCAAATCAACCTGCTTTTGCTCACTAATCACAATCCCCGTGTCGAATCCCAGCTGCACTATTTAAGTTTGGCCATGGGGCCAGCTGTGCAGCGACATCTGACCTTCTCATTACCAGCAGCAGAGCTTGTGACCTGCATTTAACACAACAAAGACAACAAATCGCTGTTGAAAGTCACTCCTGAGCTTCTGCAGCCACATGCCTGTTGATCGCTGCCCAGTGCCCTGTTAAAGGAATCTTAACATTTCAAACTCAGGTCCCGCTTAATGGGTACTTAGTTCACCAACTTTTCTTTCTTACAGAAAATGCTGAAATACCCAGTTGTCAAATTTGTGTTTTTCACCGGAGGCGAGTTCCCCTTAGACGTAGACCTAAAAGTGACGTTTCTGGGTCTAAGGTCATGGCTGTTCACCTTTGCTGGACACTGCCAGACGGCAGCACAGAGCAGTGGTACCCGCTCCACCCCCCCAGCAGTAGAGTTCAGTTCCTGCAGCTGTAACCAAGTGTCCTCTCACATGCATGTGTTTGACAATCGGAGGTGTACAAATTGTACTCATGCTGGTTTTTTCTTTTCCTTTTTCTTTTCTCTTTTTTTTCTGCTTGTGTTTTTTGAGACAGGGTCTTGTTACGAAGTTTGGGCTGGCCTTGAGCTCACTGTGCATCCCAGGATGGCCTCGGACTCGCAGCAGTGCGCCTGCCTCAGCCTCTGGAATGCTGGGATTGTAGGCGAATGTCACCGTACCAGGCATGTTGCTATTTTGGTTTGTATGTTTCAGATTGCTAGTTGGGCTGAACACATTTTCCCACAGTGATCGTTCCAATATCCTCTCAAGTCTTCTGCCACTTTTCTATCAGATTCTTTTCTTCTTATTTTATAAATTTGTATAAATTCATTATGTAGTTGAGACAGTTTTCCTACCTTAGGTGCATGCAGATAAACATTTTTCCCCAGTTTAGCCTGGTCTCTTTCCTTTCGGTTCATCCGTAGCAGAGGCTTCTTCTGTTACACATAAATGCTCACTTACCATCCAGCAAAATTATCCGTCATTAGATGTGGACTTTTTCTTGCCGAGATTTCTTGTTGGGGAAGCTCTTCATTACCCTCTTACCTGCAGGGATTTTCTCCTGTACCCTCCAGCTTTGAGGATTTCCCATCCCTGTAAATGTGTACTCTGTCTGGAATTCCCTTCTGAGGTGCCTGACACTTTTTAATTTCAACACGGACACGCAGTTGTCCTTTGGATTGTATTGTGTGTCCTCTTTCTTCTCCTGTGACTACTTAAGGTCACCTCTGACAATTTCAGATTCTGTACTGGCATGGGTCAGTTTGGAGGCCTCGGTCTATTTCCTATTCCTGGCATCGTTTAATTTGTAGAAATTTGATACACATCTTCATACCCGAGAAAACAAGCATTCAATCTGTGCTTCAGAATTTTCTTAGCTTTTCTTCTGTGTTAATTTCATGACAGACAGGAAGTTTCCTGGTAAACCAAGCTTGGGTTACAGTGGGTTGGATCTGTAAGATAATTTGGGGCGAACTGACATCTTTATTATATTCTTCTAATTCAGGGACTCAGCTCCATTTTATTTAGGTCTATTCTTCAGAACTTCAATGGCATTTTTGTAGTTAGTTTCATGGCTGTGTGTCACATGCTTCAATTGATAATCATGGTACCTGGCAGACTTGTTGGCATTGTGAATAGAACATTTTCTATTGGATTTTTGGCTATTTTGGAAAATCATTGGCTAGTATGGGAAATAAGAATATGACTTTCCCAAACATTGATCTTATATTGATCAAGTTTGCTTTATCATCTTACTCACAGTAATAACCTTTTTTAAATATAGATTTTAACTTTATTAAATTTATTTTAAATATGTTATTGTCCAAAGTAAATTCACAAAGCTACACATTTTCTCTATTGAGATAACTTTATCACTAAAGTTATGATGTTCATTACATTTATTTCAAATGAATTCCCAATAGACACAGATTTAAAAAAAAAAAAAAAAACTTAAATTCTGGTTCCATTTTTAGACCATCACATTTCCAAACATTAAAAGTGAGGGATATTGAGTATGTTTTTTCTAGCTGATTATCAAAGTTAACTACACTGCAATCTACCAACATGGGTTCTGTTATGTTGATTCTTTGAAATAGACTGTAACACACTTTGCTACCTAATATATTAGTATTTTATTATATTTGGAAAAATGCATGTTTTTCTATTCTACATAAAGGGTTATTTATGTTCAAGAATGTATACTCCATAGTATACATATTGAGTTTTTAGTTAAGTGCATGTATTTTTCTTACATTATATTGTCATCTTTTTTCTTCTCTTGGGTTGTTATTTTCTGATAGGTGCTCATAAACTGTTGTGCCCTAATTTGGATTTTATGATTTCTCCTTAGAATTCTGCCATGGAATTCATTTTAATGGAACTTTAGACAAAGCAAGCTCTTCGTCATTTCTTGGTCTCTGCTCTTTTCTGTTTTTTACTTACTCTCTGACCCTTTTTCTGTCAATGACTACAGGGAGGACTTCCAGAGCGCAGGCCCCTGGGGCATCCCAGGGCTGCAGGGCAGGCATGGGGCCCAGGATGCAGCTGGTGCTCGGTGCCCCTCACCCAGGTGGCACGGTGGCCTGGTCTGAGCCAGGGGCAACACCCGCAGCCCAGAGCCCTGGGTGCACCCTGCTCTGCGTGTTCTGCGCCTCCCCTGTCACTTTATGAGCATGTCCACGTGTGGGATTAGGAAACCTTCTCTACGGGTCAGCTAAGAAATACTCTGTGCGTGCACACGGTTTGCTCTGTGGCCCGAATTCTCCACTCCACCATTGGCAAGGGCAGAACGGCTGTGGCCTGGTGAAGCTTCATGCACGAGGAGCAACTGACTAGGGTGGACCTCTGTTCTCTGCAGAGAAATCCACCTCCGTCCTTCTGCCTGTGAATACTTCACACTGTGGCCAAGCAGGGCTCTAGCATGCGGCATTGAGGCAGGCTTTCTTTCTTATGGTGATAAAAATTCTCTGTGACAAGAGTCCATGTCACATATGTACACTTGACATTCTCATAACTGTGATTCACCTGGTAAATGGCCAATAAGCGGATTTATTTACTTATTTATTTTTGAGATGGGCTCTCTGTGTAGCCCAGGCTGGCCTGGAACTGAGGTTCCTGCCTCAACCTCCTCAGGACTGGGATTACAGGCATGGGCCACCATGCCTGGCGATAAGCATTTGTGAATGAATTTGTTCATGAGTTTCTATTATGGCCAGAATGCTTCTCTGGCTACTGCGGATATGGGACAAGCTGAGGAGGAGGCAGCTGGCCTGCCAAGGTCCACGCTCCACAAAGCCCGAGGACATTTGTGCATTTCCACTTGTGTGATGTTGGTCAAGCCTCATAAACTCTCTGGGTCTCAGTTGCCACCATTTACAAACAGAAAATTATGACTTGTTTGGAGATTTGGTGGGAGGTTTTGAGACATCAGATGTGGCAGTGCCTTCTGATATAGTGTTGGGAATGTATCGTTTTGAAAGGATAATTCCCCAAAGTCATAGGGGCAACTCTGTGCAGGGCAGTGAGTTTTTCTTTTCTCTTTCTTTTCCAGCTGTATACTGCATTTACATATTTTTTTTTTTAAAAATCCTTATGATAAATAATGTGTAGAGTACTTACCACGCGTTAGCTTTGCATGAGTTTCAGGTAACTCAGCTAATTCTCAAAGTAATGCTATGAGGAGCTGTCATATAGACGAGGAAGTTAAGACAGTCTTATACCAAGAAGTCACGTGAGCAAATTATGCTGCTTTAGGTATGAATATGTATTAAACACTTATTATGTTCCAGTTCTATAGGGCTGAGTAGAAAGAGAAGGTTCATCTGTTAGCTTTAGCTGCGTAACAAATCAGCCCAGAATTTAGTGGCTTTGAGCTATAGCCATTTCATATAATTTGTAGTTCTGTGGGTGAATTGGATGACATTCAGTCTTGGGTGGCTTGCTTATCCTTCTCAGATGTCTCTAGCAAGCTGAGAGTTTGCCCCTGGCATGGTGGTCCTAGAGAGGCCCTCCCGCACACCCAGTGGTTGGCAGGTTGTTGACGGGGGACAGTTTAAAGGTCAGCTAGTTGTTATTATAGACAATGAAAAAGCACTCCTATGCTTTGTTTTTAAACTTATTCTGTTGTTTTGCTTTCACTAAACACAAAGCGTGCTCTGACTCAGAGTTAGGCAGACAGGAGAAGAAGTCTGGAAGTGTCTCCACATTTAAGGGCTCCTACGGCAGGGGTGAATGCAAACACATATATTCTTCAAAATTTAATAGATTACATGTGACAGATCCTGTTGGAAGCATTTTTTTGGTATTAAACTATTAGTTCAGTATCCACGGTGACTCGGTTCAGTGTCTGACACACAGAGAAATTAGGAAACTTACAAGCTGGACAGCATTTTGGCTGGGGCATTTTGAGCTAGGGTTTGAATCTTTACAGTGCTGCCCTCGGTACGGGCAGATACCTGGCAGTGCCGTGATATTAGGAAACCAAATATTTTACAGAGACACAATTGAGAGCAGCTCTCCTGTTAAAGGGAGAATGGACACACACACACACACACACACACACACACACACATACACACACACACAGAGCAGGAAGCTGAGGGGCAGGGCACATTGAATATGATTTTCAGATGCAATTTTCCAGTTGGAGGTTAAGATACCTACAAAGGTATAAGGTAAAAATAATATAGCAAATTTCTAATCATTACTTCTGGAAGTTTTCCTTGGCTAGAAGCTGGTAAGCTGCAGATTCTAAGTTAAGACACGGTATATTACAGGCAAGTGATAGCCTGTAAAATACTGTGATGCTACAGCTTCCGAACTCTTACTGTGTTTGACACTGGGAGTGAAAGGTTTCAAACTGATGTTGAAACCAGGCAATCATAGCATTTGGGAAGCTCCTACCTGCATGAAAGAGCCAGGGCTATGGTGTGCCGCTCCTGACGCACAGTGCCAATACCCTGTGATATGGGAGTGGGAGAGTGTGAGGAGGTAGAACCTTCGTGTTGATTTTTTTTCTCCTTAATGGTGCTGTAAGTAAGACAAATTTGATCAGAAAATGGGTCAGCCCATCAGTGATTGGGGTCCAGATGTTTCCCAGTAGGCAAGATGAATATAAAAGAATAACAGATAATTGATTCAGTCCAGCGTTGGAGTAATAGCAGAGCATGGCACCTGAACATAATTTTACATATTTTAAGGACTATTGTATTATTTCTACATTTGCAGGCGGCTCCAGGAAAAGTGTGCATGAAAAATCAATGAGGACCTAATGCATCAAGTGGGAGAGCTTATGATAATATGGGGGATCATCTCTCATGGGGGGAATTATTCTGAGAGAGCTTAAGAATGGTCCACAAAGTCTGTCTATGTATCTTACTGGGGTATTGATCATCTGTACTTAATATGTCTATCTATAGAGATTTTACTTTTCTTGCAGGACACTCCAAACATCCAGAATAAACAGAGGATACCGAGCATATTCTGACACTGCTATTTTGTCAGTACAAGGTGACATTAATAACAGATGTGTAGTAGATAGACTCTAAGATACACTGAGCACGATAGAAATCTGAAGATGAATTCTCTGACTGGCACCTGCTTTCCAAGGTAAGATGCACAGCAGCTGCAGGAAGAAGCTGTCATCCCCTGTGTCCTGTCAGGACCGCCTTCCTCCTTCACTCCAGTGGTCGTGTGCAATCCCACCACCACACCACAATGCCTTTGGGGCCACTGTCTGCCCACTGCAATCTAGACCCTTTTACACCCCCGTGGCCTTGAATGCCAATCTCTTTCCATGTCCTAAGCTGCAAAGACACTGGACTTCCAGCCAATCTTCCCACCTCCAGCTGCCCCAGTGTCCTCAAAGCTTTCTAATAATGGAGAAGACCAAAGTGCATTAACCAGCCTCAGAGCATGGAATCCGAAGGAAGGGTGGGAGACACGGGACGAAGCTCAGGGGAACACAGAGGGAGGGTGGTCTTCCCTCACATTCTTCTGGAGTAGCAGTGTCCGGCAGGGATACGATGTGACTACACAGTAATTTAAAATGTTGTCCTAGCCACACTTTAAAAACTAGCAGAAACAGCTAGGAAATAATTTAGTAACATTTTATTTAACCAGGCTATCCAAAGTGTTATCATTTCAGCAAGCGACCATTTAAAAAGTATTAATGAAGTGTTCTCCGTTCTGTTTTACACTGAGTCTTTGAACCTGGTGGGTATTTCACATGTACGGTCCATGTCCATTTAGACTGGCCACTTTCCAAGTGCTCAGTAGCCGCGGAGAGCAGCCCTAGTGGACAATGTAGCTTTAATGTCTTTAGTTTTATTTTGTTATATTGCCAGGTTATGGCCGAAAGATTAACTGCATTCCATTAAATTATTTAGGTGTCATTTTCTTTACTTTTATGAAGAAATTTAAGCACGATTGCTATAATTTCTGCTTGAAACATAGTAACTAATAAAGTCACCTGACCCCCAACACTTTATATGAGGGAAAGTTTCTAGTTATAAATTTCTTTCTTTCTTTCTTTCTTTCTTTCTTTCTTTCTTTTTTTCTTTCTTTCTTTCTTTCTGTCTGCCTGCCTGCCTGCCTTTCTTTCTTTCTTTCTTTCTTTCTTTCTTTCTTTCTTTCTTCCTTCCTTCCTTCCTTCCTTCCTCCCTCCCTCCCTCCCTCCCTCCCTCCCTCCCTTCCTTCCTCCCTCCCTCCCTCCCTCCCTCCCTTCCTTCCTTCCTTATCCCCCACTCTCTTTCTCTCTTTCCTCAGTATTGGGGATGGAATCCAGGTCCTCCTCACTGACCCAACATATGTGTGTGTATCTGTATACATGTATGCATACACTTGTGTAGGTGTGCATGCATGGACATGTATATATTTATGTGCATGCATACATATAGGTAGGTATATATGTATATATGTGTATATGCGAACGTGTATGTGTGTGTGTGCATGTATGTATGTATTTTTATTTTGAAACAAGGTCTTGCCAGGTTGCAGCTCTGCTCAGGTTGGGCTCCAATTTGTGATCTGCTTCAGCCTCCCAGAATGTGGAAATTATAGGCGCGTGCCACCACGCTCAGCTATCAATTTCTTTATATTTATAGAGCTGTTGGCACTTTCTGTTTCATCTTGTGTCAATTTCAGTAATGTGAATATGTCAAGAAATTTTTCCTTTCTGTTAAAGTGAACTAAATTCTTTTATTCCTGTAATTTGCTGTTTATGTCTTCTTTCTTTTTCTTGATTATACCAGCTGGTCTTTACGTTTGAGAGTTTACTTACTTTTTTAAATAACAATTTTTGGTTTCATCAATTTGTTTTATTATTTGTCTCCATTTCATTTTCTTCTTTGTTATTATTTCTCTTTTCACTTTGCCTATTTAATGTTTTTGTCTATAATTTATTCCTTCTGTACCTTCTTACTGTGGAAACTTACAATATTGGTTTAGACTTCTCTTTTCTCCAATGTAAATATTTAGCATTATACAAATTCCTTCTGCAAATATTAATGCCCACAATTTTTCAGCTGAGTATGTTGTATTTTAATTTGCATTAATTTTAAAATTAAAAATAAACATTTCTAGTTTTTATTGTGGTTGATGTTTGACTCAGTTTATTTAGCAGTGTTTGGTTCATTTTAAAATTATTTTAGTTGTTTTAATATGCAACACTTCTAATTTAATCTCACCCTTACTAAAAAGGAATTCTAAATTTATGGTCTACCTTAGTCAGTATTTTAAATATATGTGAAAAATCGTATTCTGCTGTTGTTGAAAGGAGGATTTTACAGTTGGTGGTGAGGTCAAATCAGTGTGCAGTTTGTTAGTATCTTCTACATGCTTCTAACTTTTTGTTTACTGATTTTGTTTATACTGAGAGAAATGTTAAAGAGTTCAATTAAGATTGTGTATTTATCTACTTATATTTTCTATTCTGTTATATTTTTGACATTTCTTGAAGTCTTATTTAACAGGTTCACATGCAGTGCTAAGGGAATGAAAAATTATATGTTTTAAGTGAAAATAAGCCTCATAAAATTCTACACCGTTGTGAGGATCTAAACTCCTTGGAACTGCCCACAGGAAAATGAGAGTCGTGAGCTTCCTGATGACATTTTGTCGTGACAGCAGCCCTGTAACCTTCCGTCACCTAGGGCTTTATGGAAGTACTCTCCACCATGGTGGCAAATGGAAAATCAGCAGTAACACATGTCTCAGACACGTCCCCATCCTGAGCGACGTGTGCTGCTGTATTTGTGGATTTGTGGTTCGTATGGCAGGTCACTGATGAACATTGGTATTACATTAGAGTTCAAGAGATTTAGAATATAATCAAAATATCTGAAGCCACAATATCTATAATTTTTTAGAGGGCATGAGAAGAGGATTCACCAGAGATAAAATTCTACTGATGGAGAAACATAACGATAAATAAACCTTTCTGGTAATTAAGAAACATAAAATAAAACAGCTCTGCATCTTTTGTGTAATCATTGAATAATATGTTTTTAAAATTTTAATAATCAATGCTAGTGAAGGTGCAGTATAATTATGCTCTCAAATAGTAACAGCAACATTAAGTGATTTTAATAATGTATAAATAAGTGCAGTCTGAAAACAATTGAACCATATTAATTAAGAGGTAGAAAAAGTCTATTATTTATGCAGCATATTTTTAGCATCTACCGTATTTTAGATATTGTACTAAATGATGGAGATGTGACTCTCAGTAAAGAGAACACATATATCTTCCATATGACATGGCACTTAGTTATACTTATATGAGTGAACTTATTGGTCAGGTCACCTATAACTACCAAATTAGTTAGAAACTCATAATTAGTCAATGAACTACAGTACATCAACATTTTGAAAATATCTGTATGCTACAATAATTTTTATTCATTTGTTAGCTAAATAGATTATTCATCACTTAATAAGCACCTTGCATTGTGTGAGGCCTCCTGGACGCAATGGTAAATAAGACCAAGTCCTTCCCCTCGCAGGGCTTATATCCACAGGCAAAAATGCAAAATTTTAAGATCCAACATTGTTTAGAAAGAAGTTGCAAAATCATAAGATCCAACATTGTTTACCTATGAAATTGATTCTGGCATGATGACTCTAATTTTCATGTACAAAAAATTGGAACCAGAGTACTCAAGTCTGTTAAGTTTCTCATTGCTATGCGGCACAGTAGTATAGACATAGTGACTTAAACAATTACACACCTTTGCTGCTCTGCAAGGCCCCAGCTGAGGAGTCCAGGCATCTTAGCCTGGTCCTCCCGAGACCTCGAGGTCAGGGGACTGGATTCTTCAATGTGGGCTCAGTGGGGCAGTGTCTGCTTCCATGCTCACTCTGATTGTTGGCAGAATTCGTCTTCTGGCTGCTGTAGGGCTCCTCAGAGCTCGCATTTCCAAAGGCAGCAAGGACTGCATGACCCTTGGGTAGCTCCACTAGCGGAGTGGCTTGATTCCTGATGTGAATACGAAATGTCATCCCATTTCCTTCGCTATGCAAAGGAACGAGGTCATGGGGGCTCTGTCCTTTGCCATATCCTATTGCTTAGAGCCGAGCTGGAGGTTCTGCCCATGCTGTGTGATAGAAGGGAGCTAAACAAGGCACTGGACCCTCAGCCCAAGACAGGGCTCAGGGGGCCTCCTCAAACCTTCCTCACACAGCCAGAATAGAATATCATTCAGATGGGACTGTTACAGGCAAACTTCCACTAGCTACATTTTATGTCCACTGCAGGTTTCATGTCTTTTAAAATTGAATATGTTTTACTTTCTATGTATAGTAGTTAGGCATCAACTCTCCAGTTTACCTGTTAGCATACGTGTCTTCATGGTGCAATAATTTCTTTTCTAAAACAGTCATTACTTTTTTCAAGATTAGCATTCTTTCCATCATGTCTCTTAGCAAATGTGGCAGTCATCCACTCTTCTGCTTCCTTCTCTGGAAAATCACACCATCTCACTTACAGTGCATGCTCAGTATCCCGGGAACTAATCTTGGAATATGAGCACCGTGCATGGTTTATTTTCATAGTTTGCTGATCCTTTTGCAATCTCAGAAAGCCAGGTGAACGCAGCCTGTGGCCTGCTCGGTACTTAGCTTCACACAGAGACAACGAGAATGGTCTGTCCTAGGTAAACACTCAGAGCAGAGAGCAAAGGAGCTGGGTACCAGGAGCAGAAGCATCTATTCCAGAAAGCAGTTGCCATACAGGACACTAGCAGTGAACCTGCATAATCCTCACCTTCCCACCTTGATAGAGATTCCAGGAGCAAATGAGAGGTAGGCCGATCTAAATCCTGATTAGTACCTGACACTTAGTAGACATGGGGGGTGTGGTAATTGTCATTTTTACAGTATTGTGATATTAATCTTAGGGAATATTGAATCTCCGAATAGCCCATGACATAAAGAGACCTTTATGGCTCCGAAGGAGCTATTATACTTTATTATCCCATGGATCTTCAGAGTTAAAGAGTCCTCAATGAGACCTTGACATAATTAAGCCTAATGAGTCCAAAGGACTTACAACGGTCTATTGTGTCAATAATTTAGATGTGACAGGCCTTTGTGTGAAGCAAGCTTTGGTACCCAGTGTGGCTTGTGGGTTGTAGACCTAGGTTGGACAGCTGAGTTGGGTGGTGAGGTGCTTAAAAAGTACTTTACATATCAAATACATAGTTTAAAATGAAGCTTTTTAATGCATTAAATCTTTTAATGGCAGCTTGAACATCACTTTATTCATTCGTGTATTTATCAATGACTTGATACGTGTCTGCCACTCCTCTATGGGCTGTTGCAGGTGTAGGAATACACAGGACAGCCCAGCGCCTACTCTTGAGCAGCTCTGTGCCTAAGAAGTTCACAGACTGCAGTACTGGTTAGAAGATGGTGGCCCACAGAGAACAACCTGTCTTTTGAATAAAGTTTTATTGGGACACAGCTACACTCATTCGTTTCTGCTGTGTTTACAGCTGCCCTTGAACTATAGCCACAGAAATCACTGCCTGCAGTCGAGGCAGTATGAATCACATAGCTGAAAACATTCACTCTCTAGATCTTTAAGACAAACCCAGCCGATAGTTTCAAGGGTCTCCGGGCTACTTCAGCAAATCCCAAATGTCTGTGAATCAGCATTTTCAGTTCACATAGCTGTGGTGTAATTCAGGGAGTATGCCAGCTCGTCTTACCATCTGAGTTGAATTTATATGAATGGAATGTTGGAGCTAATTCTCCAGAATGCTTCATCTCAACTCTCAAGTCACAAGATAGTTTCTGGGTATGATTCCTGGAGTATGGAAGATATTTAATTAATCTTTATGAGACATGAATCCTATTAATTTATACATTCATAAGAGAATGGTGTGGGTTTAGAGCTATGTCCTTGAATGTTTTGATACTCCTCCTCTAAATAATTGAATATTTTCATCTCCCTTTGTGTTTAGACTAGGTTGCAAGGGACCCGTGTGGGAGGGGATAACCCTTTCAAGGTTAACTTATAAAAAGACTGTGGCTTACATCCTGTTTTCTCTCTCTCTCTCTCTCTCTCTCTCTCTCTCTCTCTCTCTCTGTCTCTCTCTCTGTCACTCTCTCTGTCTCTCTCAACTATTAGGGAAGCTGCCTGCTACAGGGAAGGTGTCCCGAGAAGGGAGGCCAGCTACAGGGCCATGCAGATGTTCAGGCAGCCTATGGAGAAGTTCACTTGGTGAACACTGAGATCTGCCAGCAATCACATGACAGCATTGGAAATGGACCTTCCTCCTTCTGAGGAGTAGCTAGCAGCCTTGCTGAGAAGCGACTCCTATCCAATTTGGACCTTGAGGTAAGAGATCAGCCTCCATCACCAGCTGACAGTTGACCTGAAACCTGAGAGATCCCAAGCCATCATCTAAGCCAGTTAGATTCCAGACCCACTGAAACTGTGAGATGGGAAACACTGCATGTTTGAAGTCACTGAACCTGGAGTAATTTATTGTGCAAAATAGTGAATACCGGAGAGGATCAACCCACAGGATGTGAGGGATAGTGACAGTTGTTTCTTGCTCCACATTCTTCCTAACACCCTGCAAGACCATTGATTGCTTAGCCAAGATGCCAGTACAGTTCCAGAGCTCGCTTCCTGCATACCTCGGAACCAGTGTTCTCCTTAATGGCAGGCAGCTTATCTTTCTTGAAGGCAATAGGAGTGTGAATCTAGACACAAGTTAGGCATATATTGCTGTTAAGCTCATGCTACTTTGAGCTTAACGATGCTGTTCTAGAGAATCTCATGGTTCATTGTTCCTTTCTGAGTGGGAGGGGAGTTCTTTCTGACAGAGTTATAAACTCCTTCCCAAGACTAACAAATAGGACTTCAGCTTGCAGGGCTTTTCATGCACAGAGATGTCTTACTTTTGGCTTTATTGTATCCATCTTGCTTGTCATGCTAAGAGTCAGTTGTAGACACTTATTTGTGACAATGTCACTGAGGGTCATGGTTGAGCATGTGTACCTTTGCTAACAACTGCAGTGGTGCCGTCTCTCTTTTAACCTTAGTGTGATCGCCATGCCCATGGGGGTGGCTCACAGCAGGTGGCAGGTTGTCATGCTTCTTTCTTTTCTGAAAGCCTTGGTGACAGTGCTATCTGGAACCTCCAAAGAATGTCACCCAGAAAATTAATTGGAACTTAGCACTGATGGTGACACCCCTCCTCACCACACACCCATGAGGTCCCATCCCCAGTGCTGAGGCAAAGTACGTGGTGATCAATCCTGAAACAGGGATAGAAATAAAGTTCAACCCAAAGGCAGCTGCATGCCGTGCTGTACCCCACACAGGACCCTGCAATGGAAGAAGGGCTTTGGTGGAAAAACGAATGATGTTTGCCTAGTACAGGAAATTTAATGAACAGTCACGTGTCAGGGATAGTTTCCTGGCTGTGACAAACACACTAGGAGAATGATACAAGGTGTTGGTGGGAGGGGAAACTGGCTCAGGGGTGTTCAGGAGCAGTCTGTGTGGCCTCTGTAACTGGTTTGTGAATCTACGCAATACATTCTCCACATGTACAGGAGATTCGTTCTGCAACCAGAGGCTGAAGATGTCAACGGGAGACTGTTATATACCCTTCTGTGAGACAGGAGGATGTGGACAGGAGGGAAGGCTGGGTACAGAGAACATTCTAGGTTGAGGTGACAATGTTCAATGTTTGGGAGCGTCTGACTCTGCCAGGATCTGGGATTGTTGAGGCACCCTATGTGACCAGAACACACCATATCGAAGGTATTGAAGGAATATAGACTACAGGTCACACTTTAGGCACAGACAGTCCACTGTGAGCGCTGCAAAATGAACAAAGCTGTGTGGGCAAAGATGAAGTATTTTCTGGGGTGCATTTCCATGCCAGAGCCCCAGCACACACGTCCAGTCTCATCCATGCAAGCACGGCATCTTTTATTCAGTGAAATCTGACCCTCTTTCCCAGAGAAGCTGTCCCTGCTCAGGGAGACCTCCACTGGTCCCAGCAGATTGGATCGATCTGTTCTTTTGAGTCCTTATTGTCACTGGTTAAAGATATGGCTCTTCTCCTTCACCTGTTGCGCCTGGGGTGGAGACCACGCCTCTCCATCCTTGTTGCCAGCCACAGGATCAAGGCTGTTCTGGGAAGCTGGTACTTTTGTTGAAGGAATGAATTAATGTACAAGTGTAGAGGTTTTGGGGGGCTGACCAAGAATCAGTGATGGCCCATGTGGCCATGGTGGTAGTGACAAGGCTGCATGAAAGTGATTAGTTGGAATAAAAACAGTTGGGTCCAAATGAACCTCAGGGAAATGTCTTTAAAATGCTGTGGTGTCAGAATGAGCTGACGCAGAGGAGGTCTTGGTTTTCCAAGGAAGTGGGGTTGCGAGGCATCCACGTGTCAGACCAGTCGCCTTGGCAACTCAGCACAGAACGCAGCCCACAGGTCTGCTCCCTGATAGTGGGCAGTGACCACCGTCTTTTATAAGGTCAAGATCTTTAATTTCCCCCAGGCTCCAGGTTCTCAATCAGCCCACAGGCCTGTGATGCACAGCGCTGGGCTCTGGTTCCATCCAACTTCAGCTCTTTGAAAAGTTTGCCCTAAGAATTGAGACATTGCTCTTTTACTTCCCAGAGAAAATATATCTTTTCAGAATTCAAAGATACCAGACAAAAAAGTCCTAATTTTCATCATTGACAGATGCCTGCTGTGTTCCGCAGGTTGCTGATCAGCAAATCGAAACAGGTTTTTCCTTTTCATACCTCCTCGTTACCAGATGTGGCTTTTTGGTCATCCTCCCAATGAAGCCCTCGGTGAGACACTGCCTGGATGAAAGGGACGGTGGTCGAGCTTGCTGTCACCGCGCCTCTCAAGAATGGAACATTTTGACTGATACCTCTGCCGTGTCAAGGATGTGCGTGTTTAAAACCTTGTGAAACCCGAGGTGAGGCAGAAACCCGCAAGGTGCGCCTGGTTTTCCCCTTGCTAGGAAAGAAAGACCAAGCTCAGGGGCTGCTTTCAAACATTCCTGAGCACACCGCTGGCATGTATTTTTCTGACTGTGTTGTGAGCAAGTGGCAGCTTCGGTGCTGGAGGAGGAGGGAAGGCTGGAAGCTCTTTCTCGGTTACCTCTTGTCAAAGCGATAGCACCTTTCCCTACCCTTGCTGTGTGTGAAGCATAAATCAACGCCTCCTCTTAGAGGAGGTAGGAGACAAAGGGAGATTATTGAAAATGACTGACCTTGGAAGCGGCAGAAGGGGGTTACACTAAATCTGAACACTTCCAGGGACAAAGAAAAAATCCTAGAAGAAATGTAGGTTCAGATAAGTGGATCCTACAAGGCTGGGGTGAATCTTTTCTGAGTTTGGAAGCTGGTCCACTGTGAGGTGCTTCCTGGAGTCTCACATCTTCATCCAAAGGGACATGCTGTAAGTATCACAGGGCTGCAGCCTGGGCCAACACCGTCACCTGTCTTTGGACACCTCTACAATCTCCTCTAGACAGGCTATACACATCCAGTAACCTGGTCACCAACTGTGGATGCTAAATGAGCCATTTGAGTGACATCAGCTCGGTTTCTCCTCCTCTGTAAAGTGTTTGTTAAGCCTTGTGTGATGATTGGAGACGTGAAAGCAGAGAAATGTGCTTGTCACTATGCCTGGCCCATAATAGGCACTCCTTAGACGTCACCTCTTCGGACGGTTGCCACCATCACTGCCATCGTCCTCCTCCAGCCATTTGAAAACGGTTATCGCTTTCACCCTTAGTCCTATGGCTCTTGACACACATGGTCAGAGCTGTCCCATTCTCTGATTTCCCCTCATTCCTCATTAAATCTTCTTTGACATCATGCATCTATCCTGCAAGAAATCTCAGAACGGGGCAGAGTGTATTTTCTTCCCCCTACTTTTTCTTAAAACGGAGCCAAAACAGTTTGCTCTTTCACCAGTAGATTGCTGTTTGGACAGTCTCTACTCCACGCCAGTTTGGTTTCTATTCTGAGCATAACTTTATTTTCCCCCATTGAAGGGTGCAGCAAAACGCCTCTTTGTGCAGGGGCCATTAAGACTGCCCATTCTTAAATTAGCTCGGGGAAAAAAAAAAGAAGTGCATTTTATAGTCAAGCCAGCAGTAATTGAACACTGTGACTATGAGTGGCCCTTGCGGTGTTTGGACGTGGGCCAAATGTACCTTCTGTCTGTCTCTGACACCGGCAGACAATAGCGGTATTATTTACTGCACTGGCTCTGTGCAATTCCAAAGGCCAGCTGCGAGAACAAAAGAATCGCTCACACTTTGCCCAGCCCTACCCTCCACCGGAGGCTCCAGCCATGTTTTGTAAATAATTCACCCTGCCTCCCCAAATGTTGAATCATCTATTCTTTGCTTCTTTTCTTTGGTGCTGATCAAGGCTGCAAAGAAAAGGCAGATCAGTTTTCTGCATCCTTGGAGGGGAGTGGGGTGAAGGGAGAAATGGCCAACAGCTCTTTGTTTCCATATCTTGGGGTACAGAGCCACCAGGAGAGACCAGCTAGGAGGTGGGCAGCAGGCACGGGGCCTGGGGAAAGGTTGGCAAGGCTCAGCCTCTGCTGGGAAGTCGCGCTCTCCAGGAACACTGCTCAGAGTTTCGCCCGCAGAGCTTCACAAAGAGCTTCATGTTCACCCAGGCAACACTTCCAGGTTGCCTCATTCACGGGCATTGGATGATCCTGTCACAAACAACCTGGGCTTTACACCCATGGAGCAGGGAACATTGCCATCGACTTGGCTACGGATCACATCCAGAGCTGGAAAGTGGACCCCACTGGCTGGAATTGCCCAGTGACATCCCATTAATGTGGCGTTCACCAGCAAACAGCCTCATCAAACATAAGCATGAGAGGGAGAGCCTAAGGAGCCCCCCATCCAGCTTCAGCCACACCTCCACCTCGTAAGCAAGGGAGCCTCAATGAAGCCTTCTGAATCTGTCCAGAGCAATCTGCGCCCCTTATCACCTTTTCCCACATTGAGCTGTGTTTTCGCACCTATTCCTGGGTATTCAGCTCCTGGCCCTCTGCCCAGGCATTGGAGCCGGGCCTCTCCTGTGCCTTGGGATCTGCTGCATGCTGTTGCTCTGCTCAGATGGACTGAGGGGCCTCCCTCTTGCAGGCTCGGCCAGTGCATCTCCAGTGCAACGCCTGTCTCCAGCTGTTTGGCCAACACCTGGCCTGGTAGAGCCCAAATCGGGCTTCTGCCAGGCCACGAGATACACCCTGAATCCCACAGGTTCTAGAAATTCCACCGGGGGCACTTTCCCAAATCAGTCATGCTGAGGAGTCATAATGGCTCATAAATTAAAGATTCACAGCTTTTGGACTCTGCTTTTCCCCATTCGCTTCCCATGCTCCCCGACACAGGCAGGGCAGGCAGCTCCCTCCCATTCAGAGGTAAGTTTATGTGAACTTTCAAAGATGTTCCATTAAAGAGAGGAGAAACAAAACCGAAGCACTGCAGCTCTGCGAATCAGCAGGTGTTTTAGGATTGCAGGGACAGAGAGGGTGGGAAGCGATTGAGAACTTTTCTTACCTTGACACTGAAATGGCTCAACTCCAGCCTCAACCAAGCTTGTGCTGAGCTGCTGGAGTTTCCTTTGACAGTAAGTGCTAGGAGGACTCGGTCTCACTGCGTTGGGCCTTCTGTGATGGCAGGGATGTGATTTTCCTCACTGACCCTGCATACTCTGGGGCTGAGCCACATCTCCTTACAGACCAGGTATTGAAACAATGAGAGAATAGACGGATGGATGGATAGATAGATGGGTGGATGGATGGGTGGGTGGGTGGATGGATGGGTAGGTGGGTGGATGGATGGGTGGGTGGGTGGATGGTTGGGTGGATGGGTGGATAGTTGGACAGATGGATAAGTGAAAGAAAGAACAAATGTCCCTTGTGAGCTTCAGGTTGGCCATGCACTCTGATTGTGCTTCTGGAATCCTGCCTGTCCCTTTCTGAGAGTCCTCTCTCTGTCTCTCACCCTCTTCCATAGCTATTCCAAGCCACTTCTCTTCTTATTGCAAATGAAGACATTCTTGCCTTGACCTCCTATAGCCTCACATGCTACCTTTGTAGCATCCTGGAATGAACCTACCAGGTGGGCACTCTGTATCCTGCAGGACAGCTCTGCTCCCCACTATCTCTGGGGTCTCTGCTCTGAGATAGTTGTGCACAGCCTGGAATCACGGTACAGCTCTGCCTGACGCTGTACCATAATTCAGCATTTCTGGCTGAGGTGTCTGATGGTCTTGTGCTGCAGAGGAGGAGTTAAGCTGGACTCCCTACCTCTCTGTGGAGAGTCCCCAACAAAATCAGGGACCTCACTGTGATTATTTTCCAGACCGTGAGACTTGGAGCTCTGGGAGATGAGGGGTCTCGGCCAATGCGCCCTGGCTCTTCAGTGACAAGCAGGGACTTGACACCACAGCGCCCGCCTGAGCACCCTGAGCCTCTTATGCTGGGCTCTTTGTACATCATAACATATGCCATGCTTTTCTTCATGGTTTGGCTTGGAAGGATTTTGACATTTTGAGTATGGGGATGCAGGCCGTTTGGAATGTCACAACACCTACTCTGAGAGAAAGCCAATTTTCCCTTAGTTCAGTCCTTGCAAATAGCAAAAGTTAATTAATCCCCTGTAAATAAACATTTGCAAACTGCAGCTCAATATAGCACTGTCCAGGAAAGCTTCCAAACAGGCTCCCAGATTAGATGAGAAAAGGACCAGAGCTGATCATCTGATGGTGATTAGGTGGCCTCAGACCTGCATTTGGAGCCATTAGTGGTGACCAGAGGCTGGGGAGCCTGGGAAGAGGGGGAACAGTGAGTGGGAAATAGAGGCAGAGAACCCAAACACCATCAGGCGGGAGTAATAACTGCTGGCGTCCCATCATGCAGTGGGGCGGCTACAGTTCACAGCAAGCACTACCTATGTCATGAACGCCTGAAAGAAGGAGTTTGAAATCTCCAAACAGAAAGCAACCGCAAGGAGATGCAAATATGAATGACCCTAACTTGACCAGCATACTTGGGACACATGTCCTGATGTATCACCTGCATCACAGGCACATACACTTATTACACATTAAACAAACAAACAAACAAAAAAGAAGTTAACAAGTTTAGGAAGATGGAAATGTTAATGGCTGATTTGACCATTATACACTGAATATACCGTAAACCAGAAGCACACACTTCACCCTACACATTCATATCATTACAATAATTTTTTAAATAGTGTTGGTTTTGTGGGGACATAAAGCACAGATCTGGATTCCAGCCCTGTTGCTGGATCACAGAGACATTTACTGAGTGAGCAGACACCCTCAGGCCACAGGAAAGCTGCGCTGAGGTCCCTGCTCCCAGCATCCTGCGGATCGGAAGGGAGAAGGGGCTTGGTGCAGCCTGCACCCTGGGGAGTGCTCCGGAAAGGATGGAGTGTTCTTCACTTACCGTTCCCGGTTCCTGCCTCTGTGCCCCACACATCACAGGGCCTTTGACTGGAGCCCAACCTCAGGAACTTCCTGGCTTACAAAAACCTTCCTGTTTAAGAAGGTGTTGGGCAGAAAGTGTGAACCAAACCACTCTTGCTCCTTTGCTCCCCATTCCTGATGGACCTGCACAGTCCACTGGTTTGCGTCGACCGCCTCTCCCTTGAATGAGCTCTGTGCTAGCAGCTAATGAACTGATTACTTCTGGGCAGAATCAGCATTAAGTTGGAAACCTGCTTTCTGCAGTCTCCGACAGACCAGCGTTCTTTTATTACACCCAGCAAATAAAAGCATGGCGGTGCACAGTTCTTCCAGCTCCCGAGGACAGGTTCTCATCAACCTCGAGAAGTCCACGTGGATTGACACAATTTGAATGCACATATCTGGCTGAATGAGCGACATGGGACATGTGACAGCTACTTCCTTGAGATGCAGGCCCAGGCTGAACCTCGGACTCTGAGCTGCAGGCCTTATTGCTTTTCTGGTTGGAAACGCAGCTCTTCTCTAAGGCTGGAGGTGCCCTCCCACGAAGTGAGTCCATCAATGGCACTAACGCAGAGGTGCGCCACACGGCCCGCCTTCAGGTCAGGTAGCAGCAAGCTGACCGTCTCTGAGCCTGCAGGAGGGAGCTGCACGCACGAGGTGCCTCTTACCTGGAAGGAAAACTGCCCACCCTGGGAAACGCTGAAGTTACCTGACTGGGGGATGCCCACACGTGCTGGGGTCCATGTGAACGGCCATGAAGGCGACCCTGGCCTCGGGACTGGTTCTCTGAGAAGCCAGAACACAGACCTCCGCATGAGCCATCTGCAGTTGAATCTTGGCCTTCTCCCCATCAGTAGGGGAAAGCAGAGAAGTCACTTAAAAGCTGTCAGCTTCAGTTTTGTCTCTGATGACATATGGCAGGTGGCAGAGTCCAGTCCAGTTATCTAGGGGTCACTGTGAGATCTAATGGCATGGGGACTTATTTAATTATTCTATAAACACACGGTATACTCACAGGGATCGCTAAGGTCTGTCATGTTTCATGTGCCCCTGCCATTTCCTGGCCTCCCTTGGGGTAGGGTGGGGGCACACACCTGAGTTCCGGCCCTCCGGAATGGGTGGCAGGTGAGGGGTGGAGTGAGACCCTTCTCTCTCAGTCCCCGTCAGCAGCAATATGGGTGGTCACTTGTTCTGGATGACGTGGCCACAGTGGGTCCCCGAGTCATCTAGTGTAGTTGAACTGTGATTGCTTCTGCAGGGTTGCCATGACAGGTACCACGACTGGCTGACAAAAAGCACAGGGAGCCTCTGTTACGGTTCCGCAGGCTGAGGTCTGAAGTCGGGGGTCAACAGGCTCGTGCTCTCTCTGGCTCAGCATGGAGTGGAGTCCTTCCCAGCACCTCATGCTGGCGGTGGCTATCTGACGTTGCTTAGCTCTTAGCTGCATCTCTCATCACCCCACAGTCTCCTCTTCTCCTAAGGAAACCCATCTTACTGGGCTGTGGCCATCCCAGTGACCTCCTCCGGTGACTTCTTCTCTTGAGTCAAGGTCTTACTAAACTTGCAGTCCTCCAGCTGCAGCCTTCCTGTTAACTCGGATCACAGGTGTGTACCGCCATGCTCAGCAACTCATCTCTTCTTAACTTGATCACATCTGCAAAGACCTTCTCTCCAAGTAATGTCATGCTCCCAGCTGCTGGGGGTTAGGACCTTGATAGACCCTTCTGTGGTTACATTCAGCCCATAGAACCTAGTGCCTGTTGGTTTATGTAAAAGGTCTAAGGCCAGGGAACAAGCCAATGAGTAGGGATCCATTTGTGACCAAACTGCACTCTGACCTCTTTCCATGAATACAAAGAGCTGACTGATGGCAGAGCCTGGGGATGGACTATTTAGCAAGCTATAGACCGCTCTTTGCTTAAAGATTAGTCTAGTTCAGTGCCTGGAAAACGTAAAAGGCTCCATAAATGCTAACAATTAGAAACACTGTTTCAGTATGTAGGAATTCTGGTTCCCAAGATGAACACATTTCCTCCTTGGAAACTTCACTGAATACCTGGGACCCAGACAAAGGAACAAAAATCTGTAAGATGGAAGACATCAGTTATTTTGGGCACTGAAAGGTGAATTTTCAATTCGCCCAGTGTAGAATGCCAGGTGTGAGGGTGTGGAAGGGTGGGTGGTGGAAAGAGGTTGCCCCAAAAGGCCACCAGGTGCCAACTGAATGTGGAATCTGGGGACCATTGGGTGGACTCCAGTGGACACATCTGTCCTTACAATTGAGGAGCTTTATCTTCCTTAGCCCCTGTGACTGCAGACACTACTCACAGGCGTTGCCTGCCTGTGGCTTCCATTGAATAGCAACTGTTAATGTCCCTGTTAATGTCTCTGAAAGCCCAAACATCTCCATTTTCTGTGGGATAAAAGTCCAGGCCCATAAATCCCTCCCAGTTCTCCATAGTTCCATTTCAACCCTGATCTTTTGTGGGGCTGTCCCGGTCCCTTCCCTGACACTTGCCTGTGGTCTCTTCTTTTACCTGCAAGTTATATGTATCTGTACATGTTTAAATGAAGTAATTCAGGCTGCCATGTCTGCCATGAGCTAAATCCAGAGCAGTCATAACAAATCGGGTCTCCAGAAGATCCTTCCCTCCCTCGGGCTTCCATCCTCACTGATCCCAAGCACGATCTACTCTCTCTCATCTCTTTGCTCGGTTTTGCCTTCCTTGTCCTTTGGTTTTCTCTCTGTCCCTTCAGAAAAGCCTCTGTAACCCCTCCTGGATATTTTGGGATCACAACATGGATTTTCCCACTGTGTTAGTTTCTTGTTAATACCACGTACTCGATGACCTTGAACTACACAAATTAACTTCTTGTTCTGGTGGTCAGAAGTCCAAAATGAGCCTTCTGAGGCTGAAATCAAGGGATCATGAGAGGTGGAGTTTCTAGAGGGCAATTTGTCTGTTGCCGTCTCTGACTTTTAGAGGCTTCCTGCAGTCTTTGGCTTGTGGCTGCCCCACCTGTGTTTCAATGCCACCTGTGTTTCTGTTGTCACATCTCCTTCCCCAACTCTGACTTGCTTGGGTCCCTTTTGTAAGGATTCTTGCAATTACAATGCACCTAATCACATAATCCAAGATAGTTTCTGTCCATTTCAAGCTCTTTAAATTGATCACATCTGTAAAAGTCTCTTTCACTAGGTAACATATCATACTGGCAGGTTCCATGAATTACAGTGGAAACATCTTTAGTATTTTACTATGTATGGTATAATTTTCTTAGGTTTCT